CCAAATGATACTGTATATTTGAAAATTAAACTAGGAAACAAGAAAAGAAATACCTCTTGGTAAGGAGGAGTAGAGAGTAGCCAAATGATGCTACCCATACATCCAATGGTTGTGAAGAATCCACCAACGTTCCAAACAAAGTGAAGATAAGATCCAACCGCTGATGAAAGTAATGCACAACATAACAACAGATAAACCTACAACCAGGCAATCCAATATATAACTTCCCCTCTGAATTGTAAACCCAAATTTCCAGTAATCACATGCACTGACCATAATTTTCAAATTAACAAAGATCAGATATCACAAAAGAAACATAAATATTGCGAAGAATGAGAAATAAGATCAAATATCTACAAATAAACCAAATTAAAGATTTAAGAAATCAATTCAATTAATAAGCAGGGACACCATTATATTCCAATAACTTAAGCTGAAATGGGGTGAAAATCAGAAGGGCAGAAATTATTCAATTCTAGACATCAAACTATCGATTATTTCCCAAAAATCCAAAAGAATAGGTTCGAGAAACTGATAAAAGAAACCTGCTTGAGATGGGTCTGAATAGTAGGGGAAATCTGACGGAAATTCTTGAGAGAGTCGTAACTCCATCTGTTCCGAGAGGCAGATTGCGATTCAAAGAACGAAGTGAACGATTCCACTATTTCTTTGTTAGTAATCTCACGCAAATTGAAATTTCAGGGTGGAATTTTGAAAGAGGCGTTGAAGATTCAATCTATAAATGCAGTTGAGATTCAACGCTTCGGCTATTTCCTGGAACCAAAAATCGAAAATACCAAAAACCCCCAAACTTGCAGATCGAAAAGAGAGATAATTTCACCTTCGCCATGCCGCGAACGAAGCCAATGGGACGCCGACGTCAAAGAGTGAGTAGGCAGAGACGGGCCAAACCACATCAAGAAGAGGATGGATTGGAAGAAGAGTGAAGAAATTTGAAATTCTGGTAGTGGAGATGTTACTGTATTGAAAATGGCCATTTCGCGTGTTTTGCATTTTTTCCCTGTTTTTGCTTGAAAATTATCAAAACGATTTTTTATCGTTTTATGTTTTGTATACAAATTTTTTATTCTTTTTAAAAACGCGTTTTTAAAAATAGGAAAGATAACACATTTTCATTGAAAAATCGAAAACGACCCAAAAGGAACGGCCTCTTATTTTTCACAAACTTTCAAGCTGCGACTTTCGGCTCCCAAAAAAGGTATGGGAGAGTTGAACCGATCACTCCGAAACCGCTGAAGAGGAAAAAACTTATTTAAATCTCAAAAAATGTGGAAATTAATTAATCCATCAGCTTCAAGTGAATATGAAGAGCAGTCGGAAGACGATTTATTGGATGGAACTGAAGGCCTCTGCTCTCTTTCCCCTTTACAGGTACAATAATTACATCCTCAATTAATCAAAGATTTGGTATGAAGATTCAGTTTTTGATCGAAACCCTTTTCTTTTTGGGGTTTTTTTGCACGAGCAGAGATTGTATGGATTTGCTGCTTGTTTAGCAGCTGGGCTTATTTGTGTGTTCCTGGTATGTAAATCCCACATTTCAATTTTTTTCAGTTTCTTGAAAATTGATTATGTTATATTATTTACTGAGCATTCCGTGGAAAGCTTGAAACCGATTCCTACAGTGATGAATACAAGAACAATTGAAAGTTTTATTTCTTTTGGGCGGCCAAAAGTATTACTGTTTAGAGCAGCGTTGGCTAAGCTTAAAAGTTTACTTATATGTAAATATATGTTCTACAATAAAAAAATTATCTTATTGATCAAACTCATAAATAAGTTCAGTGCATTTTCAAAATAATGAACTCGTTCTACTAAAAAAAAAAAAAGAAGAAGTTATCCAAACATGTTTAGTAACAAACTTTATGCTTGGCCAGACACGTGCTTAGCCTTGCAACTTTGTAGCTCGATATGCAGAAACAGAAATCCCTTGTTACTTTCTTATTTTATCAAACTTCAATCTATACAATCTCGGGAAAATATGAGGCTTTGTTATCGAATGGAAACATGAAAAGATGCATTTGGTTATATCTAAAAGGCAACATGGATGCATTCTGCGTAGTTATTAACCAACATTTTACCTTCTTGGCTCTTTTTTCAGTCATTGATTGTTTTTGTCAAGCCCATCAAATTTGCTCTCCTATTTACCTTAGGCTCGTTCTGGAGGTCCTTTACGACTAGCCTTTCAAGCCGCTCCACCTCTTCGTGAGATGCACGCGTCACCTCCAGTAGCGTGGACGACATTCTCACTCTCTCTACTGTCTCTCTCTACCTAGGGTTTTGATTTTTTCCCTCCGGCGGTAGCAGAGGGTTTTCTAAAGGGGGTAATAAAAGACTACGGAATCGTATGTTAAGTAACTGGCGAAATAACAAGGATGTATTTGAATGCAATGTAAGTTATAGGGCGTTTTCCGTAAACTCTTGTTTTTAGGGGTCGATTCGTAAATAAGAATAATTGTTGATAATAATTATATTCAATCATTTTTATAAACTCGCGTTAATTTTTTTATAGGCTTAACATCTTAGGTGCCGCTCTCTTTGTGTTTCAGTTTTGTATTTTGAGTTTTGAAATCATTTTGTGTTTTGTGTTTTGAGTGTCTATTTTGGAATTATTGAAAATGTGTTCTTTTTGGCATTTTGAAAAATTGTTTTCGAAAATAAAAAACATGAAACGTGTTCTTTTTGCAATCGGTCCTCCCTCTTTCTCGATCCTTTCTCTCTCGTTGTCCTCTCTCTGAGATCGTTGGCGCGCCGGCGCTACTGGCTATCTCCCTCCTTGCGGCACGGTGGTGGTTTGGGTTTGGGCGCCCTGCGATCTCCTTCATCTTTTTTTTTTTTCCTTTTGTGATGGTGGTGTGGTGGTTTGCTGGGTGAGTGGATATGCTGCGAACGGCGATGGTGGTGGGTTACTGTTGTACAAAATGTAATGGATGGGGAAAGGACGGCGATGGTTGCCAGCGTCTACCGCTACCACCAACGGTTACTGTTGCGGCGATCGTTGGGTCGCGACTTGGCGATGGTGGTTGGGTCGCGAGAGGTGATGGTTGGGTCGTGATTTGGCGATGGTGATTCCACTGCAGGCGGTGGTTGATTGAAAACAGGTCGGTTGTTATGCTGCATGTGGAATGGCACTGTGTGGTGGTGGTTGATTGGATGGTGATGGTGGTGCGGTGGTTGGTCAGGATGTGGTTTCTGGTGGGGATTTTGGTGGTGGCGATTTTGGTGGTGGTGGTGGTGCAGTTGTGGTGCAGGAGAAGAACGTTGTGTTGAAATGGAAAATGTCATTTTCCGTGTTTTGGGTTTTTCTTGAATTTGGCTTGAAAACATCCAAAACAATGTTTTAACCATTTTGTGTTTTCAGGCATAAATTTTTTTTTGTTTTCGAAAATGATTTTTTGAAAATACGAAAGAGAACGCGTTTTCGTTGTTTTGAGAAATCGAAAACAGAAAACGGCTTGAAAACAGTAAAGAGAACAGGGCCTTAGGCATCGAAACTAGACATATATATTGGCCAACACAGTAGTTGCACTATGAGGCATTTCCAACGTTTCTTTTGTTCATCTCTTTTCTTAAATATATAATCGTGTTTTTAACAGAGTCGAGGTTTTAACATAAATACGAATACAAATTTCTACGAGGACCAATTGTACAACAATATCAACGTGTAAGGGACCAACTATTCCTTTTCAAAAGTTGAAACCAAGTTGCTACGGCTCTTAAAATTCAGATCCTCTACAGTAAGAGTTTCTCCAATCTACCCCAATTTGAACAGAAGTCGCATTTTTGGGTAAAGTTCCCAAAGTCAAAAAGCCCACCTTGCAAGAAAGGCACAAAAGGTAGAGAGCAACTATAAATGGAGGAGAATGCGACGTAAGTCACGTAACCAGCACCGGAGGCGGCGATTTTCATAGGACCCCGACGTAGCTTCGGTGACGAGCAGGAAGACGAGGAAGAAGACTTCGGNGCAAGCCCAGCAATGTCCATCCTTTGCCAACTCGAATATGCCACGGGGGGCATGTTGAGATTCATCTTAGTTGAACATTTGGAGGAAAGAAGTAAATCAAAATAAATAAGATTTACACCGAGTTAGTTGTAAATTAGTGCACAGTTTGTACTAGATAACTGTTAAGAAAATTGAAAAGATAAAAAAAGGTCAAAATCTTTTCTATTGTACAATCTAAATTTGGTCCAACATCGCATATTATGTATGTACAAGTTGCATTACAATTTTGATGATTGAACTTAAAGGAAGGATATTATTGCGTCGAGCCCAAATTATCAAAAACAAAGTTAAATTTGATTAGCGTTGATATAACAAAATTGTGAACAAGATATTTAACGTGCTTGGATACTTTGGTTTGTTAAATATAGTTTTGAGATTGATTTTATTCACTTAATAGAGTTTTTATGAAATAAATTTACGAATATTTTCATCAAAATTTTGTTTAAAGTTTTATCGATCTCATAGTCATAAGAATGGTACTTTGATGATGTAAAAAACATATTGTCTCCTTAGTAACTGTTCGTTTTACAAGCATTCGACTAGTTTGAAAATAATTCAATCTCCAAAAGCAATAGCCATAAATTTCATCGTTCGACCAGCTTAAAAAATTTACTTATTAAGTACTTAGGTGGTGTTCTCTTTATATTTCAGTTTTGTGTTTTGAGATTTGAATTCATTTTGAGAGTCTATTTTGAAATTGCTGAAAATGCGTTCTTTTTGTCATTCTGAAAAACTGTTTCTGAAAACAAAAAAATGGAAAACACATTTACTTTTTTGAGAATATTTTTTTAAAAATATTTTATTATTAGTCAATAAATTTTAATAATCATTTGAATGCTTATTATTTCACTTTTTATAACCATTTGAATGCTTAAAGATGTGTGAGTATAGTCATTTTCGCAAATTCCCCATCTCGGTCAGGATTATAGTTTTTAATCGTTTTTTCCTAGTTAAAAATTTCAAACACAAGCTTGTTAGCAGAGTGATTGAAGTGATATACCTTCACCTTAACTTACAAAGTTCAAACCAAATTTGATCAGTTTCATTGCACCTTAGTTTAAAAAATAAAATTGGATAACATGACACCCTAAGTCATGCATTTATTCAAATACAAATGTACAAAACCATTGATAACTTGACATGATTCTATTGGCACGACCATACCAACCCAACTTGACCCACTACTATAACATTAGCAATCCAAGAACTAAGATAAAAACAAACATATGATGTCACCAAATTTCAAAACCTAAAGGCCAACATAACAGCTCAAAATAGGGATGGCAACGGG